GACCCTGGTACAATGTCGCTGCCACCACGATCTACAGGGTCAGCAGGACCCACGCGAAGAGGAGAATGGCACACCTCCAGGAGCCTTATTTCTCTTTCCTTTTACCTCCCCTTCAGTTGTAACCCCTGCTTTCTCTTGACCTATAAAAGGGAAAGCAGGGCGTCCCACTAAGGGGCATCGGTTCACAGCACCGCATCAGACATCGAGCACCAAGCAACCGAACCTCAGAGACTTGGGAGCTACATCCTTCTCTCGCCAGTTTGTAACCCCCTACTACAAACTCAGTACTTGTAACACGAATAGCTCGAAACTAGACATAGGGACATTCGGCCCAAACCAGTATAATCCTTGTGTCCTCCTAGCACACCATCCGGGTCAGACGCGCAATATATAAATTTACTCGTTGGTGCTTACTTGAAACACCGACACCTATCGCCAATATTTAAACAAAATAGAACAAATATGAATACCAAAACATAGAATTAGGGTTTATAACTCACATTTTCCATGAGTTTTGGTATAAACATGTTTTATAGGGCAACACGTGAAAATGTACCAAAAAGGCGCAGACCGAGAAGGCGCATTCAAGCAAAACAGAAGCAAGCCCATTCAAACTCCACACTTGGGCCAGAACACCAGCGTGGGAGCCATCCAAGCCTAGCCAGCAACCCACCAGAGTAAGGCGGTGGCGAATGGGCTAGCTCAGGGTGTGGCATGCCCGGCCCCACCTTGCTCAGGCGGTGCATTTAATGCTAGGGGAGGCGGTTGCATGTGTGCTTTCCTAAAATACGAGCAAACCAACTTTCTCAAAGCCTATAAAAGAAGACACCCTCTCCACATTCATGAGGATCATACATATTTGGAGAAGAAGAAGGGCTACACATATTTCATTAGCCTCTAGCTAGACTAGTTAGGGAGTGAGAGAGGAAAGAGTTAGAGGAATAGCGGAGTAACGGTGTCCTCTACTTTTTGTACTCGGCGCAAGTCATATACATTGGGTGGACGGAGTGCCAGACTTGTCGGCCCCCTCTACACTTGTACCCAATGTTTTCCTAAACGGTAAACGGTCTTTACACGTTCGTCCTTCATTTAGCGTTTAGGCTATTTACACGGTGTTTAAACGAAGTTAAACGGTCTAAACGGTTTTGTACTTTAAAAAAAATACATATAACTATATATGTGTATGTAAAAAATCAAATATTCTAGCATTTATACATATTTATCCGAGTAAAAATCAATTATTTTGGTATGTATATATATTTATGCATGTGAAAAGAACGAAATATAGATATTTATGCATGTAACATATCAAGTGTACACATTTATAAATATAATAAACTTAAGTATACAAATTTATCCATACAAAACTGAACTAGATTTACCTCGTGCTCGCTTAAACGGCCGTTTAAACAGCTGTTTAGCCCGTTTAATGCTGTGTATCTCCGTTCCGTTTAGGCCGTTTTTTTCGTTTTTTGACCGTTTAAACGGTCAACCGTTTAATTTCCGTTTACCCCCTAAACAAAATAATTTACCACCGTTTACCGTTTATTGGCCGTTTAAACGGCCGTTTAATCCGTTTAGGCGAACACTGCTTGTACCTCTACGTTCATCTTACTACTTGGAGTAAGACGTTCATGTTCATCTTTTGATTTTGATCCCTTAAGTAAAGTTATCATTGTTACTACTTACTTACGGGTTCATCGTCCATCCTCGTGGCGGGTGCTCTAGTAGAGGACTTTTGATAAAGACAGAAGTTCCTGCCCAACGCTAGAGTAGTGACCGATAACGTAGACGTGATGTCTGAGCTAAAAGTCACCTTCGTTTGCCTCGTATCCTCCGGTTGAGGGGTAGGCGGCAGGTGGTGATAGCCCTGTCCGTCCTTTGTAATCCCCCACATTCGGATACGACGTAGAGTTGTATGCCGGTATCGCCTGACATATCAGGTGCGCTCCGGTGCCCGAATTGAATCTGTAGTAGCAAAGTTATCTTTGCTTAAGGTTTCTACCCCTAGAAGAACCTCACTACCCAAGTTACCCTTCTTCCCATTCTTGTTAGGTAAACTAGTTAAGAAACTACTTACACTACCATTCCTTTAGGAAAATACGATACCTTGAATACTTTCGGATGAAGTGCTACAACAGTAGTTCCGTGCGCTTACGAACTTTTCTACTTACGCTAAGAAGCACCAACAACGCGGCGGTCCATTGCAATGGACGAAGCATCGACCTACCGCCTACATGTCCGTCAACCTCGACTTTTGCTACCACTCGGTCCATATTGAATTCTAATATATTCTCTATATAGTAAGTTTAGTAACAACTAACATAGCAACCAGCCCATTATACTATATGCTTTTGTTAATATTAACTTTAAATAGCATGAGGGACGAACCTAGGATTAGCCAAAGACTAGAGCTATTACATTAGGCATCAGTGCTAATTGTGCGTGACTATTGAAAAATTGATAATTTGTCCACTGTAATTAAGGGCTAAGACTAGGGTCATAGTCCTCCACTGAATAGCATGGTATGAGTTTACAACTAAGAACTAGAAACTAGTTAAGCGTGTGTTTGGTTCCTAGATGGGGCGGGATGGGATGATTCCATGTCTATTTTTGAGGATTGGACTGTCTTAACTAGTGTTTGGTTGAGAGGGATGCACCGGCGGAGCCGTAGACTATCTTCAACAACGGTATCCAAAATACAAGACTCATTTCATATTTACATAACGCTATAGACAAATGGTTTAATATCTATTTTTGGTCTTCTTCAACAACAAGACTCAAAAGAGAACCCTTTCTGCAAATAGTTATTCGGGAGAGAGGATACTCAGATTTAGATTGTGCCTCTCATGGCACTCAAAATGGATCTGTTGGAGGCTGATACAGTACCGTCGAAGACCTATTTTGGTTTTAGGTGCCCTTATGGGTCACTTATTGAAGACAGTCTCATGAGGCCAAACTGGGTCATGGCCCCCTTGTCTCTCTCTGTTACTGTAAATAGCTAGTATATTCTATAGTAAAGCTGCTGCATTAAATGTGAAAACAGGTTCAACAAATGAAAAGTAAAGAGAAACGTAATTTGATAGACTGATAATTGAGATATGGCATAATATGATGCGTTTCAACTATGATCTTGTTGTACAATTTGGCCCCGCTTATTTAGTCCCCACGCTCCGCCGCTGGAGGGATGGATCAATTAATATTTATGGTTTGGTTGGGTGATTCAGTCAAATAGGATGGATGGAGAGTTGGAGACTAACACCGCCGACCATTGTTTTTGTGGGCCTCACATGTGAGACAATCTTATCTACCTCTTCTTCCTCTTGCCCTCCGCATAGCCGCTCGTGCCCGCCAACTTTGCATGGTCGCTCGTCCTCGCCCCAACGCCACTCGACCGCCTGACCTTGCCTCGATGGCACCCGACTGTCCACCTCTACTCGCCCAAGCGCAGCTTGACCCTGCCTCGTCCTCGCACATCAGCGCCTCTTGTCCTCCCCATGCACAATCGACTCGTACGTGCACCGCCCCGTGCACCAACGATGCCTGCCAGAGCCGCCGTCTGCTCCTCATGAGCTCAAGAAACAACCATTTGTGCCACCACTTTGCTAGATCTCAAGTAGTAGCCGCTCGTACCACCCATGCCATGGAGGAGGGCGAGGCTGTGAGATCAATTGTTGAAGGAGAGGCACGATCGCGAGCTTCGGTTGCCAGAGACATATTGCCTCGAGCTTAACGCACGGAGATGCCAAGGACGCGCACGGGGTGGATGAAGACGTCGATTTCGAGGGACGGAGGTGACCTAAATTTAGGGCAAATATTTTCTTTTCTTTTTTTTTTCAATCAAAATCAAAACACTAGAAACTGTGAATAGCCTCGTCCCTTTCCGGGAAGCCTAGCCTTTTTATTTGGTTGGGTGCCTACAGCCCTACACAGATAAGATTGTACCTACAACTACAAAGCAGCGGCCCGGCCTGCTCGAGGCCCATCAAAATTTCTATCGGATCTCTTAACTAGACAGCCCCGGACTGCGTTCACAAATCACGCTGCCTTTTTCTTCGGTTCACCCCGCTTGCGTCTCTCTCGCGGGGACGACTGCGCGACCACCGCCGCCGCCTCCGCCCTACGCTAGGTGCCCAGTTCTTCGTCGGATCCTTCACCGGGCACAAGCACCACCCAGCAGGTATGCCCACGCCTTCTCTCCCTTGCTGCTGTGCGAAACTGAGCATTCAAACCCTAACTGCCTGCTAGGGTTTCTCGCTCTAGCTGTTAGGGTGCGTTCTGGCGTAAGATTGGGATCGCAAGATGTTCCAGCAACTTTTAGTTTGATTTGATTTATTTATTAGGCGGCACAAGTTGGATGTTTTAGTGCAGAGGAGTTGATTCCTAAGGAATGCCTAGAATTCTCGTAGTGCATATGAGACCCACGGTGGGGAGATCTTTTGGTTTTAGCTATATCTGGTCTCTGGTCTGTAGTAGCAATAAACTGGGTTGGACTCTATCTGATCCAATGCTCATAATATGCGTGCCAACAAAAGGGGAAGGTGTCGGATTCCTTTAATCAAGAAGGAAGCTTGTTACCCTTTTTCGCTGGGGGCGGGGGTTGTGGTCGGTGTCTAGGGCGGGTAGGCAAGGCAAGGCAAAGCGCCACACACCTAGAGTTTCCGTTACTCCTCGTATTGTTAGTGAGCACATGGCGATGAGAGTTTTTAAGTTAGCTGTTGCAGCTCTTATCCAATAGCTTCTCTGTTCTCCACGTGTCATGTTCTATAATCAATCTTTGTTTTCCGTACTTTGGACGTATTGTTAGATAGCGAGCACGTGCCAATGGGAGTTTTAAAGTTAGCTGTTGGAGCTCTTATTCTTATCCAATTGCTTATTTGTTCTCCACGTGTTATGTTCTATAATCAATCTTTGTTTTTCCATACTTTGGACGGTTTACAGCTGTGATCTCTGGAGGTGCTCTTCCTACTCTTCTTTGTTGGTGTTTTGATGGTGGCTTGATGGCTAGTAATATGCAGGCTCCTGGGCCGCCTCAGGTAAGTGCTGTCACATGCTGTAAATATTATTTTGTCATGTCATCTATAGTGTACATAGTGCTAATCATCTTTATTGTCTTACAAGCAGCCTCCCAGGCCTCCCATGATGGGTTCTAGTGCCCAGCCACAAAATCTTGGACCACCAATGCCTATACAGGTAAACTGAATTTTAGATTTTTTGTTTCTTTCCACATTCATTGCTTCCAGAATTCTAGGCTATGTTTCTAATGTTGCTCCTCATGCTCCACTTTCAGTTTAGGCCAGTGGTTCCTTCACAGCAGCCTCCTCAGTTCATGCCGCCAGCAGCACAGCAGTTTCGTCCTGTTGGTCAGCCTATGCCGGGGGCTAACATTGGCATGCCTGGGCAAATGCCACATTTTCCACAAACTGGGCAGCACTTGCCTCACTCAAATCAAGTTCCACCTGCATCACAAGGGGTTCCCATGGTATATCAGCCAGCTAGACCAATGTCATCAGCGCCTATGCAGCCGCAGCAACAAACTGCGTATCCTGGGGGCCATTTGCCCAGCATGGGTGCCCCTATGCAACCCCCGACCTATACTGTTAGTCCTATTAGTCACTCTTAGCGAGTTAATTATTTCCATATGATGTCTGTTACTAGTCTTAGGCTAATCTACTAACTTGTTAACTTCGACATTTCAGTATCAACCAACATCGATTCCTCCTGTAGTGCAACCCTGGGGTACAGGCCCAGGACAGAATGTACCTCATGTGCCTCCTCTAGTGCAGTCTGGGCACCAGCCAGTGTCAGCTCCAACAACTTTGCCTTCAGTAAGTATTGCCAGACCTATGCTTCATCACCTGTTTTTTGTCTAATTTTGTAACCTCTGCTGTATCAATTGTTTTTGTCTATTATACAATATTTTATATCGTTGACTTTGGAATAACTGAGTTTGCAAATGACAAGGTCAACTTGTCTGAACCTAGCTCTTCAGACTGGCAGGAGCACACTGCAGCCGAGGGGAAAAAGTTAGTATTTTTTTTAATTCCTTTCCGTTATTAACTTCGTTACAAGCTTTTGTAATTTAAGTATTTCATGTTTTGGTTTTCTCTTTATTTGGTTTGCTTTAATTTTTCCCTTTCATTTTCTAGGTACTACTATAATAAGAAGACAAGGCAATCAAGTTGGGAGAAACCAGTTGAGTTGATGACACCTTTGGAGGTTAGCGTGCTATTTGCTTATAGTCATGCAGCTTAGCCATATGATTTTGTTCTGTTTAGCTAGCCCTATGCTTGTGCCTGATATCATCTTTCACTACTGAAGTTCAAGAGTTCAATTCCCAATGTGCTTCTGTGCATAAATTCATGCACACTCTTTGCCCTTTTGCGTTATTTTGTGCTTTCTATCTATTTAGATGGATTCTTTAAATTTGGTTGAGCACTTGCAAAGGACCAAGAAATCATTCTTGTTTCTTTTTGCTTGAGGGCAGTTCATTCTCTAATATAAGTAATGTACTTAATGCGTCCTTGCTGTATTAATTTGCATTTCAATGGGTTTTGTTAATTTAACAGAGGGCTGATGCCTCAACCGAATGGAAAGAATTTACTACACCAGAAGGACGAAAGTAAGTTATACAGGAATTAATTGCCAATTGAGATCTTTTTATTTATATGTCAATATGTCAATGGATCCTCCATTTTCTTTCTGTATTTTGACTGTTTTATCACTGAAGGTACTATTTCAACAAAGTGACCAAGCAATCAAAATGGACTATTCCTGATGAGTTAAAGGTTTTCTTCTTTCTCTTCTTTTCTCTGTCTATATTTGTTTAATTGAAAATTACATTATTGCTGCAATTATTTTTTCTCTCTCAGGTTGCACGTGAATTGGCAGAGAAGGCATCAAATCAACAACCTGATCGAGAATCAGGAATAGCTGCTAGTGCTCTTGTCGGATCTGCTGCCTCTGAACCTTCTACTATACCTGCTAATCATCCTTCATCTGCTGTTGGTATAATTGCTCCCAGCTCACATGATGGGTCATCAAACTCTGTTCCTCCTGGTGCTGCCCCGTCGCACAATGTGGATAACACTTCCAGTTCAATTGTTGGCATGCAAAATGGTGGTCCAAGTACTGCTGTTGTTCCAGTTGCAACAAGCACAGAAGTTCCATTAGTTGCAACAGATGCAGGGGCCAGCAGGTTTTCACACATGTTTACCATTTTTCATCCTGTAGTATATGCTACCTGACGTTCAAATGCCTGCTAATATGTTTATTTGTTACATTGCAGAAACAACAATGAAAATTCATCTCTGACCACTGGGGCTGACACAGAGGATGGTACATCCGCTGAAGATTTGGAGGTATGTTTGCTTTACACATGTTGTTTTGTTTCATAAGATTTGCAAGTGAATAATTGATGTATTTATAATCCTTTGCTAAATCTTGTCTAAGTCAGTGACCCCACATTGTAACAATTTGTCTATGGTTGCCTTTTTGTTATAAAGTTTGCTGTTTTTGCTCCATTTCAATTTGTTTGTGAATATCCTTGTCAACATCCTTGTGGAGCCTGTTTTTACATGCCTTTTAGCACTGCATTTGTTTTCCTTTGATGGATGATAGTATTTTGCTACCATTAATTGTAAGATCTATTTATGAAAAAAAGTAACTAGACACACTCGACCAATGTTTTAAATAGCAGGCCATAGCGGTGCTATAGTGGTTCACGCCATTTGCCGCAACAAAACTGTTGTACCAAATAGCGGGCTATAGCAGTAAATAGCGGCGCTATAGCGGCTGATCAAACCTCTCTGCTAAATGCTATAGCCCGCGATTTAAAACACTACTTGGCACATAATGTATATTTTCCCCCTTCTGACATCGTGATCTACAATTATTGTGGAACACTTATCGGGATTTTGGATGCTTGGATATGGTCGGTGAAGAAGTTTAGGCAATGACCGATGACAAAGATATTTGTAACAATGGAATAGAGCAGAACAGATTGTAGTGGTTCTTGTTAGGAGAAGAATTATAGGTAACATGGGAGGTCCATCAGAGATAGGTATATGTTACTCGATTTTTCTTCTTCCCTGAAACAAATGCATTGACATCACCCTTTTTGTAGATAGGAGTAAGACACAGCCTACGTAATCATAATAAATTGTGTACTCGGTCGTAGCACAGTCAAGATTTCTGATAAAATTATATCCATCATGGAACTGAACTTGATAAATTGATGTCTCATGATGACTGAACTTGTGTCCCTTGCCCCAGTCCTTTTGTTTGACATTGCTACTACCTTGTGAACCGTGACTAGAGATGTGCACCACTGATAAACTTAATATAGATGTTTTTTGGACACCAGGGTTTAGTAGATTTCTTACAGATCAATCCAGTTGCATCTTTTTTGGTACTCATTCATGTTTTTCTTCTTATTAGTTGGCCTTTAGAGAAAGCGAATTACTAGTGTTTAGGGGTTACCAGAGATGCTGTAGCGTGAAGTACCGTTACTCAGTATATTGGAAGGAACTACCTAAGAAGTTACTTCAGCTTCCTTTTCTTGGTAACTAGGTATCATACTGAAGTTAATTATTCTCTCCATCTTTTTATTTCAAAAAAGAAAAATCATGGATACTTGAAAGAGAGGGAGGGGACATCTATAGTCTCAGCTATATAGTTTCTACTTTGATGGAAATTAGAACGATTTGAACTGGACAGTCCTTTTTCTGTGGATGAAACCATATTTTCGCACTTATATTATCTTTTTTAATATTATCTCTTTTAATAGTGGCTAGTGGACTTAACTGCTTAGTTTTCCCTCTCTGTAACTGAATGTTGACACCGCTTCAACATGCTACTCTGTAGGAGGCCAAAAAGACCATGCCAGTTGCAGGGAAGATTAATGTCACTCCACTGGAGGAGAAAACAAGTGAAGAAGAACCTGTAGTCTATGCCACTAAGATGGTGAGATGGCTTGAAAGAAGCAAATTATAAATTGGAATGTTTACTCATGACTTGGCAACCTCATTTATATTTTTGATTTGTAGGAAGCAAAAAATGCGTTCAAGTCCCTGCTCGAGTCAGTAAATGTTGAGTCTGATTGGACATGGGATCAGGTATGGAACTCGTCTCTACTTAACATCAACCGATGAAATGTGTAACACTGTTATAATATTTTCAGACTATGAGAGTCATCATAAATGACAAAAGATATGGTGCTTTGAAAACTCTTGGAGAGAGAAAGCAAGCTTTCAACGAGGTCAGTGTTTGTTTCTTATAAGATCCTGACCCTTCTTAGCAGTATCCTCAACTCCAGATCTTTGTAGTAAATGTTTCACTGAGGCCCAGGTATTATGATTTTATTTCTACAGTACTTGAACCAGCGCAAAAAATTCGAAGCCGAAGAAAAACGTGTCAAACAGAGGAAAGCACGTGATGATTTCCTTGCAATGCTGGAAGTAAGCTAGTTCTACTATTAGTAAGTTTTCTCCTTTCTATTACTGTATATGTACTGTGTTAGTGAATGCCTTGTTTTTTTTATTCAGGAATGCAAGGAGCTCACATCATTGACAAGATGGAGGTATACGTCCAATTGCAGTATTTTCTTTGTATATAGCATCCAAGCTTGGCTGTTTTTTTTCTAAAATTTCACCAGATAATTGGAGTTTCTGTTTGATAGTGTTGATGTTTTGTTGTCTTTTTCTTGTTGGAGTCACACTTACTTTTTTTTTGTTCATTGTGTAGCAAAGCAATACTTATGTTTGAAGATGATGAAAGGTTCAAAGCAGTTGAGCGTCCAAGGGAGCGTGAAGATTTATTTGAGAACTATCTTGTGGAACTGCATAAGAAGGTCATTAGATATTTAACTTTTTGCCTTGTGACGCCTTTCACTGTGGTAGTTCTTACTGTTGATCTTTGAACGTTCATATATTTCTTTGTTGATATACTGGTTTTGGATTCTGCGGCTTCACTCTCTTCTATCTTCTATCCTAGTACTACACTTTTGAAAAAAACAAATTCGCTGCAATTTATCAATGGTGTTATGTCTACATACTTTTTACATTTTTAATTTAAATGGAGAATTTACATTTTTCCTTCCAATTTTTTTTTTCTGGAATCACAGTTAGTCTTGAAGCTATTTGTTTCTTTCATACTTATGATAAGCACTTTATTCAGTGCTGTTCACTTGAGAGAACAGCTTCATTCTAGATGGGTTGGCCTTGTTATATGGGCATAGCCGTTACTTGCAGCATGACCCAATTCCATGGCCTTTGCGGCAGTACAGCCAAGAGGGTATCGAATGAGGAAGGTTGAACCCCTTCCATCCTGTGAACTTTGCACTAAGATAAAATTTAGGGTATATTTCGATGGTGTCCATAACTTGTAATTTCACAAGGTAAGGGACGCCACAGCTTCTTAGTTGGGTGTTTGGTTCCCAATAATTGTGGCTTGCTTTTTTAGCTTAATAGCACATATTTTGTTGTCACACATGTGCCAAGCATTGCCTAAGGTGTGGCGAGCTGCCACATTTGTGGCTGGCCACACCTTTTTAGCTTCATACCCCACATATCAGACTCACACACGTGCCAAACATGCCTAAGGTGTGGCAGAGCAAATTGTTATTCACACCTTAGGCATAATTTGGCAAGTGTGGCAAGGTGTGGATATATCAACTAAAGTTGCACTAGCATTAGGATTGTGTTCAAGCACCTTGTTAGTTTTTGACAATGGAGTTTTAGCTTCAGAAATGTCACATGTTCACCATAAACCACTGATGACACGGTTTGCTGTGCTTGATCTAATACATACCATACTGTAGGAAAAAGCCAAGGCTGCTGAAGAACACAAAAGATATGTAGCAGAATACAGAGCTTTTCTAGAATCATGTGACTTCATCAAGGTTATTTCTTTGATTTCTCTTATAGTCAATCTGTTTATACAGAAGCTCTACAAATGAATAATTTTTTTTCATTATTGCAGGCAACTACTCAGTGGAGAAAAGTTCAGGAACGTCTGGAAGATGATGAACGCTATTCCGACTTGAGAAGATCGATCGCTTGGATATTTTTCAAGTAATTATTTTCCTGGCCTTCAGTCAACTTTTGCTGTTTTGTGGTTCATGTTCAATTATACATTTTGTATATTGCAGGAGTACATACGGCACCTGGAGAAAGAAGAGGAAGAGCAGAAGCGGATACAAAAGGTACTACATTATTATTCCTCGTCAAGAATCTAGCCATATTATTTTTTCCAACCTATAGATGAAAATTAAGCTAACGTTCATATACAGGATCAAGTGAGAAGACAAGAGAGGAAAAACCGTGATGGGTTCCGTAAAATGTTGGAAGAACATGTCGCTGATGGTACACTTAATGCAAGAACTCGGTGGCGTGATTACTGTGCACAGGTTCTTGAAATATTTATTTTCAGAGATAGTGTTAAAAAATGCTTTTCCTGATTCTTTACATTTTATCAATTCACAGATAAAAGATTCAGAGTCTTACTTGGCTGTAGCCTCAAACACATCTGGCTCCACACCGAAAGAGCTATTTGATGACGTGATCGAGGAACTTGACAAACAGGTTATTTTCAGAAATTCTGGATATATCCTTGTAACAGTTCATCCAATGTTTTAGGGAGTGTTATACTATTGCTTTTCTTTTTTCTTTTAATTTTTTTCATTTGTATGATCTTTTTTACAATCGAGCATAGACTTGTGAACTTTGGTTGAAAGCACCTAAACTTTTTGCATTGTCCCTAATTATTATTATGTACTCATATTCACTTGGATAAGGAGTTGTTGCACGTGTATTACTTATTAACATCATTCTACCTGTGTTATTCCTGGGATACACTAAGCTTTGGTAACTAGTAATGGTAAAACAAAAGTTCTCTTAGAATGAACACATACTATCTGATCTTTTGTACCTATGAAGGAAACCCTTAATAAGTACAGTTGGTATAGTAGTGGAAAGATATTTCAGAGCTGTCATCATATGTGTGACATCATCTTAGTGATGTAGTCAAATGGACTTGTATATTGAATTGTTGTGCATCTACCTTTAGGGTGCTCAGTCAGTGCTTTCAATGATTGCAAGGTTGATGTTAATTTAGCTGATATTTTCACAATCTGAATTAGTGAAGGGCGGGCCTGGTGCAAGCGGTAGAGTCTTACCGCCTGTGACTGGAAGGTCCCGGGTTTGAGTCGCGGTCTCCTCGCATTGCACAGGCGAGGGTAAGGCTTGCCACTAACACCCTTCCCCAGACCAGACCCCACACAGAGCGGGAGCTCTCTGCAATGGGTACGCCCTTTCACAATCTGAATTAGTGTTCAAGGAGTAGTTGTGTTGTCTAGCTGTTGCTGTACCTGAGCTTAACCAGCGATAAATCACCTTGTTGAATTTGTGAGGATGTGAATGGAAAGAGTGGCAAAAAGGTTGTGAAGATATCATATTCCAAGTCTGTGATGGGGTCGATCCGTTGATGGCTGGGTGAGGTTGGCTGCTAAGGCTGAAATCACAAATGAGAGGGATAGATATAGAAGGGGAATTAGATTATTGGTTCTTCTTCAGATACATGCCATTCGCCCCAACACACAAAGCCGTCTGGCTCCTAACAACCGAATCAAACATGCTAATCTAATTAACTAGCTTAATCCTACCTGTAAGGTCTAATAACAACTTAAGTAATCTTATCTCTTTTTCGATATGTGATGCAAGGCTGGTCCATTGACATGCTGGCCCATGGCTCCTTAATCCATCACATCAGATATGGAGGACAAGAGAAAAAGGGGAAGGGTATTTGAAATAGACATGCCTTGATTGATAGATAGCGCCCCGTTATATTAGGAATCTAGCAGTAACCAATGCTTTTTTCAAGTAGGGAAATTGACTGGTGACCAGGGGTCCGAAATCACCTTCAATTAAAACATATGATGAATCCATGATGTTGCAAAATGCAAATGTTTAAAGTTCCATAAGAATCATGTACACATTAACTTGTTTAAAAGAAAAAGGGGTACTGTGAGCACATGATGAACATGGCAGATCTGTTTTACTGAGTCCATTTGAAAAGCTATCTTTATATTTGTGATGCTTATGGTTTCCTGGTATACTCTTGTTGTACAGTATCAAGAAGACAAGACCCAAATCAAAGAAGTGGTGAAATCTGGAAAGGTATGGTTTTTGTGTATAATCGTGATCTACATTTTGCTTCTTGCGGAAAATAGTACACATTGATTTACCATGTATTATGTGTACACACCATAAAGTTGCCGTATTTATGATTTGCATCCCTCTTCCAGATTCCTATGACAACTTCGTGGACATTAGAGGAATTCCAAACTGCTATTCTGGAGGATGATGCTCTTAAAGGAATATCAACCATCAACGTCAAGGTGTCATATCGACTGCAAGTTTCGATTGATATCTAAATGATGTTATCAATGTGTTGCATTTTTTCCAGATTGTTGTTTTACTTTGCTGGATTGGTTGCAGCTTATCTATGATGATCAGCTTGAAAGGCTCAGGGAAAAAGAGCAAAAAGAGGCTAAGAAGCGCCAGCGGTTGGGGGAAAATTTTTCAGATCTTCTGTATTCAATCAAGGTATTGCAGTAAGCATGTTACATTATTTCTTTGCCATTGCTTACATTTGCTTGGTCTTGCTATGCATGGTAACAAGGGTTTTCACGACAAAAAAGTAAAGTTGGACAGCATTCCTGGGGTCTTAGCATCCAATGACACTTCTCTTAAGGACCACCAGCTTATAATTTCTAAGTGCAAGTTGCATGTAGCATTAATGTGCATTTGTGTAATTGGCAATAATTAGTATGGGTATTGTGGTTCATCACCCATGGTGCCTAGTACAGTAGTACTGCTAGTGTAAAGGTTGTGCAATGAAAAATTTTAATGTGGATGAGTGCCAAATGCAAAAGGAAGAGAATCCTTGCTCACCTTCCCCAAAAGGAAGGCAAGGCAAGAGAACCAAACTTGAATCCACCTCGGCACCTCCACCCTTACCTTGCTGGGCAGGTTTAGGCAATGGATTCAAATTCAAACATGCCATATGCCCTTTAGAGAAACCACAATGTGTTCCAAAAGCAGTGCATAGGGACTAAATTATTCCATACAGACTGCCTGAAACATTGTGGAAGAAACAATAGAGCAGTCCATTACAGAAGTCGTCAATAAACCTACAGAGACCGCCCATAAGCAATAAAAATTATTTCTCCATCTCTCTGCCTGGGTTCTTGTTGTTGCCGCTCCCGCCGGCTGCCTGCGCCGCCCGCAAGGACACCGTCCCGGCCCTCCATGTCACCGGCGAGGACGTCACCCAAGCCATGCGCGCCGCCCTCGGTGCCGCGTGTCCGGCCATCCGCACCACCAGCGAGGCCACCGCAGCCATCCGTGCTGCCCACGAGTTCGCCGCCATGGCCATCCGTGCTGCCCTTGAGTTCGCCGACCATATGCGCGGCCCGAGAGGTCGCCATCTACACGCCGGACATGAGAAAGAAGCAGCCCAAATCAGATCCGGGAAGAAGAAAACCCATTCAGTGGCTGCATGGCACCCCATACGTACTGTCTGTGCCTCCCGTGAGTGCGTATCCGCCACTGGCCTTTGCCTCCAATCTGATCCGATTTTGGCTCGAGTATGGCAGTGCGAAGGGAGGGAGTGGGCGGCGGTTTTCCGATGTGTGCTGACCGCTGAGTAGCAGCGAAGAGAGAGAGAGGATGGGCTGAGGGTGGACGGTTCACGGTTGGGATACATATGATTTTTTTTATGTTACAGTGGGCCCCTATTTTGGTCCATATAGACTTGAACATTGTGGTGACAACAATAGCTATTATCCACTGACACAGGTCCCACCCATGTGGACTAAGTAGTCGAAATACATTGTGGTTGCTCTTATGGGAAACCACGGTGGTAAAATATCAGGAAGAATGGCTATGACTTGCTACTTATCAGCTTAACTTGATGTGCTTCTTTATACGGAGTATGATATAATCCATAACTTGTTGATATATAGTAAGTGGATTCATTTGAACTAGTAAATGCTATCTGAATTTGTTGAATGCAAAAATAACACAGAATTATTAAGCCTGCGCCAAATGTGTTGGTACTTTGAAAATGCAAATCTAATAGATACTTCTTTCCTGTAGCATCACTTGAATGGCTTTATTATTTGGTAACTGATTTTGCATCAGCTACTTGACTCTTGGTATTTCTCTCTGTATCAGTCTTACTCTGAGATGTTTTGGTACTGGAGTTTGCCTAAACCAGGGAAAATGGTTTTCGGCTGTTTTATATTCGCATTTACGACCTGCATTTTGTTGAAGTTTATTTGCTCTGGGCATATTGAATATTCATCAATAGACTCTTCATTGATAGTACAGAAACCATACCATCTCTGTGACCCTGTCCAAGCATACCAGATTTGGATTGCAAAATCTTTGATTTCCAGTGCAAATCTGAATCTATTCTGAGATCCCTTGCAACTGCATGCATATTTAGTCCAGTGTTCTGTGTTCGATGGATATGGTGACATAATTTGCCAGACTATTAATCTGGATATCAGGATATGCCATGCTTTTGATGTGATTTATTTGTGTTTCTTTGAAACATTGTAGGAAATATCAGCTTCTTCAACCTGGGATGATTCTAAACAGCTTTTCGAGGATAGCCAAGAGTTCAGGTAATGGCAAATGACAATCATCCTTTTAATCATTTTAAGAACAGTTTACCACACTACATGCATGTGCCCGACTAGTTGATGTACTGCCATTGTGGGTTGGAAAACAAAAATGGTTTACTAGTCCTGCCTGTTCGCTGAATATAGTACACATAATATAGCAGTAGTGGTAACAGTCAAATTAATTGAGTATATGAGTTGTTACTTCTGGAAAAGAAATTATTCTCCAGGCCCAAATAAAAATGAGTATGCTCCAATTCTTTAATATCATGGTATTGGATTCTCTGATATAACTATAGGTTCCATTTTTTTTGACAATTTTGGGTCCTCATTTAAATAAAGATTAGTCTGTCCAGTATAGTACATGATTCATTTAATTGAAACTGAACAATGATTGTGTTGGACTACAAATAATTTTTTATAGAAATATGTCATGCAAAATGTTGATTTAAGCCTCGGAGTTGATGAACTGTGTTACGGATGTTTTAACTGCTATATGATAGGGACTCGTATCAGATTTTCCTACTTATTATTTTTATCAAGTGAGTGATTCTTATGTTGGCTTTGTTGCATTAGGGCGTTGGACAGTGAGGCTTATGCTAGAGAGCTTTTTGAAGAGTGTGTTGTCCACCTGAAAGAAAGGTTAAAAGAGAAAGAACGTTTGAGGGAGGAAGAAAAGGTAAATGGTTGTATTGTTGTCTTATATCATCTATCTGCAGTCTTCATAGCTTGTTTAGAGTTTATATGCTGCTTTGCATTTTGTGTTATTTCATAGCTTCACATGCACAATTGGTACTTAGTGGGAATGGTAGATACCATGTGTTTATTACTTGTGTTGCTTACCAGAGGTGGAAAAAAAGTGATCCAACCTACCTGAGCGAGAATAGCCGATTTCTTTGCTGATTGGCTCTTTTGGTTCATTTCTGTTTCAGCTTTGGAGACCTGTATAACCGATGAGCTGAAATGCAGGATTATTATGGCTTCCAAGCCTTTTAACCTATACTCAACATGTTTGTAGCTATCATGTATATCCAGTCCTTGATAATATTAAATTCAAAAGCACTAGTATTTTAAGCTACTTTTTTATTTTAATTAATAAGTTACCACATCTATATATTACTCCCTCCGTTCCAAATTGTAAGTCTTTTTGGCTTTATACTATATCTAGATACATAATAAAAACTATGTATCTAGACAAACCAGAACGACTTATCACTCGGAATAGAGGGAATATGATTTTGTATGTGTTAAGATTAAGCCAAACTAAGCATTTGTGCTTTAATTTGGTTTGAGACAGCACAATGCCAAGATTTCAAATATGGTTAATGTTTTTATGGGAACCAACTGAACTAACCAGATAGTTTCTGTGAGATGTTTCTTTTCATTTCTCATTTCCCCCCTGTAATTTTTTATACTCTTATATTAGGCAAAAAGAGAGAAAGAACGCGAGGAGAAAGAGAAGAAGAAAGAGAAAGAGAAAGAAAGGAAGGACAAAGAACGCAAAGAAAAAGAAAGAGACCACCGGGAGAAGGAGAGAGAAAAGGAAAAAGGGAAGGATCGATCAAAGAGAGATGAAGAGCTTGATGGTGCTGATTTGGACACCCATGGTACAAAAGATAAGAAAAGAGATAAAGATAAAGAAAAGAAACATAAGAGACGCCACCATGACACAGATGATGTAAGCTCTGAAAGGGATGATAAAGATGATGCTAAGAAGTCTCGGAGGCATAGCAGTGATCGCAAGAAATCTAGGAAGGTATAAAATTTGCTATTCTGTGCAAATCAAGCTAAACATTGGGGGATGTTGTGACTCTGATTTGGTGTTATTCGTTCATACTTCATGTGGTGCTAAAGTCCATACAAAATCAACAGATTTAGCAACTGTAACCAAATGTGTTTGGCATCAGTATGTCAGCAGAGCGAGCTTGATGATACTGTTTGAAGACTATTTCCTTTCAAGTTCACTTAACTGTAGTTATTTTCTGTTTCCTGTTTGTGCTATTTGGCTTCAAACATGTTTACCTTGTTCGTTGTTCAGCTGTAAAACCACCAGTTCTTTTTTGTAGTTATTCCTAATTTTGTTTATTAGAATAAACTAAATACCTACAAGAAGGTAAATTTGCTGTTTGATGTCTGTTAGAATTTTTTCCCTAAGAAACAGGAGGCATTATTCCATCTCCCCCACAAAATGTTTATTGCTTTAGTCATACTATTCTGTATTCTATAAATGTTTACTATACGCCATACTAGGTCCCCTACTTTTAATAGACTACTCCCTCCATTCCAAATTATAAGACATTTTGGCTTTTCTAGATACATTGCTTTTATCTAGACTGTATATCTAAGTGCATAGCAAAAGTTATGTATCTAGAAGACCCAAAACTTCTTATAATTTGGAATGGAGGGAATAACATGTTCATGTGGAATCGGTTGGACAAGCCACAAATCAGCCAGCTAGGTCATCTTGTCTTTATTAGCTGGGTTGTCTTTTTCCATGGCCTTAAATTGTTTGAGCGGGAAACTGGTTGTAGAACAATCCGAAATTTTTCCACGGCTTTGAATAGTTGTCGCAGGTAAGTTAAAACCTTTTTTTAACTTTGGCCATCAATATTTCAAATTTTTGATCAAAAGTAGTACGACTTTGTAGAGCTTACGACTTACAAAGAAAGCTCACATAATCATACCAGTCTTGTGATTTTTGGATATTTACAGCCTTGGCACAAATGTGCAATGCTGACAATCCTTTGAACCAGCTTTTCCATTGAAAACTAACACCTCCTTGTTGCAAAGTATGAATTTTAAAAAGAAATAAAGGAAAGTTATATAACTGTAGTATGGCTAGCTCCAAAAGAAAAATTGTCCTTGCTCTCGGATTTGTTTCCCTACTAGAATTACAGCATCACAATCAATATGAATACAACCTAATCTTTTTGTAATCCATCAAAATTAACCAAAACGCTGACAATAGCTGCAATTAATATGTAACTGTTCTGTTCTGTTGCTTAATTTCTGAAATATTCTTCAGTCACCTGAATCATTGTCATGGTATTCGATTATGGTTAAAGTGTGTAATAAGATCATTATTGTTGATCTGCAGCATGCACATGGTTCAGACTCGGATAGTGAAAACCGGCACAAAAGACATAAAAAGGACCGAGATAGTAGCAGAAGAAATGGTGGACATGAGCTGGAAGATGGTGAACTTGGAGAAGATGGAGAGGTCCATTAGTCTTTCCGTTTGCTACCAAGATTGTCAGTAATTACTGCCCCTTGTCATTTTCTCCATTGCTCCTATTCTTCTTACTTTTGACATAGTGCTTCGGGCTTAACAATCATTAGTGTTATAGTTATTTAGTCCCATATATTCTGAAATATTTTCTTTAATATCTACATTTCTGCAGTACCACTTGTTGTTTCTTTCCTTTTTCATAATCAATGTGTGGGTTTTGGGGTAGTTGCACATATTATTCTCTGGAAAAGGTGCAGTACTTTAACCATGTGGTTTGCTTCATGTGGATGGTATGTCCTGGTTTGAGATGGTGTGAGTAGTAACTTCTTTTGTCTGGATGTGCGAATTGTAGCCATGTATTTTTGTAACGTTAACAAAATATTTTGTTGCCTTCCTAGACACTTTTTTATCTCTGCCTTCTCTTTTTCCTTTGTACTTTACTGTGTAGGTTTGTATTTGGGTACATCAGTACATGGGAGCTGAAAAGTGTGAGTGTGCCATAGTTATCCTTCAGAACCTTGGCTGGACATGCAACTTTAGATAGCCATAACCACAAGTTGTCTTGTCCTATTCTCAGAAAAATAAATAAACAAAACCATCAATTTATTTTTGTTCCAACTATTATAATCTTATTTATGTCCTGATGAAGTTTATTACTGACATTTGACTGAACCATCAGCTACTTGTACCATTCATCTCCAGTCTTGTTACAGATGGATTTATTGCCGTCTCTTGCCTGTTGAGTTGCGCTGAAGCCTATCAGCTGGATTTTGCTCTGCCGCATCTGTGATGCTGCTGGGGGGGGGCAATGGATATAGCAATAACACCAGCCCATGCTTGACACCTTTTATTGGTCCATCTGACAGCTGATCAGGCTAATTTTTCATTTCCTTCAAAGTCCATGATGCAGTTTGTTTTGAGGTAACATGGCAGATCGAAGTTGCTCAGTTTTCAACAAGTTGCTTTGTGAGTGTGATGTGCTTTTGGACTAGGCTGAGTATTGAATGTTTGATTTTGTCGCTAATGTCATCTTAAGACATGTTCATTGGACTAGGATTTAGATTTATTTGGAATTGTGTCGAGGATTGTTGGACTGGAAGATTCAGCGTGTTTGTAATATGGTTTTCATTTACCAGCTTATCCAGGTTTACTCTTAAATTCGTAGGGTTTTGTACCCAGAATTGTACTGGATGCTTTCAGACGAAGGCTTCCTGTTGGGGGAGTTGACAGCGTATCTTATTCGCATTATCAGTGTCCTGACTCTTGAACTGTTTTCAACCAACACCTTGCCCTTGAGGATATTGCTCTGTTCGTTTTGCCATGGCTGAAAGTACTGTTCGTTGATTTATCGTGAGAGAAAAATACTGTTTATTTATTGAAATAGTACGACTTATAAGACAAGCCAACAGGGCTACTGTGAAATTGGATGACAGATCGTTGCTTTTCTGATGCAATGCTTGAGATGTTCCCGTCGTATACATTTTCCTTGAGTGACCTGCGTTATTCCGCATTTCGTTGCTTCCGTGAGGGGAGCGACCGTTTCTGGGCCCTCCACAATTTGTTGGGTTAACTAATCTTCAATTCAAATAATTGAAAATCCCGTAGGTGGGCACACTTGTCAGTATTGTCTAAGGCCTTGTTTGGTTACCTCTTCTAAAAGTTTTAGGAGCTAAAATCTGGATAAAATTTGTCTAAAGAACTAAACACCTTAGCCTAGAACCTTTAGGAGGGGCTAAAAACTTTAAGAACTTCATTCCTCCTAAAACCTTCTAAAGTCTATCTGGACCCTCACTACCCCTCTCTCTCTCTCCCACCCTCCCTCCCCTGATGCCGCCCCACGGGCGTGCCCCTTGCGCCGCACGAAGCTGCCGGTGGGGACGGGGACGGCGCCGGGGCGTGTGAGGCGGACCACCTCCGTAGCTGCTTGTGCTGTGGCCACCGGCGCCTTGGCCGTTGCCACGGCCAGCGCGATGGCATGCCGCTGCTCCTCCGTCATGGCTGCGGGTGCGGGTGGGCGTGGTCTGGCACCGTTGGCGCGGGAGCCAGTGCTGGTGATGGGGACGGGGATGAGGACCGCCGGAACAGCCATCTCGCCTGTTGCTCCCGCTTCCCCTGCACGGCGAGGGACGACCGGAAACGTGAGAAGGAGCGGATGAATGGATAGAGAGAAGAGAATGTGTGAGGGTGTGGTGGAGGAACAGAACAGGGACGAGAGAGGAGGAGGGGGGGGGGTGCGAAGTCGGACCTTGTCGTCTCCGTCGGCGTCCTCGCGGAGGTGCGACGCCTTCCTGGTGGGGCTGCTGCTGACGTCCTTAGACGGCGAACGGAAGGTGTCGGGCTCGTCGTCGACGGAGACCGGGATGGAGCCCCAGTCCAGCCATCGCGGTGGAGGCGAGAGGAAGAGCGCAGGGGTAGGAGGAAGAAGGGCAAAAGTGTCTTTGTTCAACAGTATTTATTGCTTTTAGTCACTTTTAGGAGGTGGAACCAAACATATTTTTAGGAGGTTTTAGATGGCAGCTAAAAGCTCCTAAAACTTTTATCTCCTAGAAATTTTAGGAGGTGGGAACAAACATGGCCTAACTTTGGCCCACTTTGGCCCTTCGGCTCGTTTTCTGTGGTTTTGAGTTGCGGGAACGTTGCTTCTCTCCACGAAACTCTTGCGCGTCATGCGAAACGTGCTGCCAGCTGCAGGAACACGGTGGCAGAGTGCGCGATGTACACTAGCGCAACTAGGAGCGCGAGGCGAGATTCACATCGTCCAGCGCGCTCAAATGGTTGTACACTAGCGCAACAGGGCCCTCAAGCTCCACGGCAGATACGGACGCTGATGCCACATCGCCGACCTGAGCTAATCCATCGCCAAGGGGACCGCACTGGGATCACTACCTTGGTCGAGATCACCGGCGACAACGGGTGGTGCTGGAGGATGACGATGGTGGTAGCCTGAGGTCGCTCTGACGCTCTGCAACCAACGTATCCATGCGTGGAGGCGAGCAAGGTGAGCTCCGGCGGCGAGGCCATCTCTAGCGGTGCAAAAAGCTTAGAGCAAGAGAGATGGTTGCAGCTTGTCATAGCTCACGTGGAAAAGTGGGCTTGAAAACTAGGGACATGTCATGTGTACACTTCACATCTCAGGCCCTGTTTGTCTGATTTGATTTTTTTACACTTACAAAACGCATTCCGCTTGGAATTTCCTGTGCACTGTTTGGTTAAAGAATGACATGAATGCAACTATTCTGAAGATACCGTGCTAATTTCAACATAAAGAGAGCCTATCTTAATTCATTTCATCAGGGAGATAGCCGCCAGGATAGCCATTAGCAACTAAGCAGTTGAGCTCAATTTGAACCCCAACTCACACAAGCGTCAAAGTGAATATCATCGGGGAGATAGGGAGCCGCCAGGATAGCCATTAGCAACTAAGCAGTTGAGCTCAAAAAAAAAAAAAGCAATTGAGCTCGATTTGAACCCCAACTCACACAAACGTCAAAGTGAATATCAATCGAGAATACATTTCAAATCAACACTTCAATTTTGGCTGAAACAATTGGAGCTAAAAGGGTAAAGAAATGAAGAGCACAAATTCAGTCGCTATCTTCTCCACCGGGAAACACCAAATTGACAAAGAGAAGGTGGAGGAGGATGCATGCAAGCAACCGAGAGATAGCAACCATAAACATCCTGGATCTCGCGACCAAGTTCTTCAAGGACTTTGACTTCTTGGGCGAGATGCGAGAATGAGCTCATAGGTACAAACAACTTCATGGATGAGGAATAACGTGGGGGAGGGTCGTGGCACCAGAGAGCAGCGTGGGACTCACAATTCGATCCGCGAGGAAGGCTTCAACATAGCGATAGAACTAGCAAACATGGGCTCGACTTGATAAACGCCAGAAGAAAAAAGCATGGCCTGTTGAGGCGTTTTTGTTTTTCCACTTGTAACAACCTAGACCATGTGTAATTCTAGCGGGCTAACCGATCATCCAAGCAAAAAAAAAAAAACAATTTATGGGCACGTAATTTACAATGATTTTGGACCAAATATCCTGCTTCCAAATAGACACTTAGGGTTAAGATTGATGGCATCGGTAGCTAGGTGTCCACATTGTTGGGTTTCTTGGTTGTCGCGTGGCTAACTTGTGCTCAAGGTAGAGGTTGTCTCGTGGGACAATATTTGAAGTTAGCAAAAAATTTACAAAGTTTTTTTTTTGCATTCAAAAAAATTTACAAAGGTTGAAAAACGATTTTGTTTGGAGAAGCTTTGGACGCGCTTGGGCTGCTGAAGGTGGCCCTGGCAGTCCAACCGATGGGGCTGGCGGTTGGACTGCGGTCAGTGTAGTGGTGAACAGGAGTAACGCTTGATCCGTTGACTAACTGGGCCAGCTAACTGGACCAAGCGGTCCATGGCCGTCGGACCGCCAAGGCCAAGTGACCATTGGGCCACTTGACCGTTTGAATGGCACACTGGCACTATTGGCCGATCGGACTGCCAGCTACCCAGAGGCTCTGCCTCTTGGCCGAAACGGCTAGTTCTTCTCAAGGGGTGGCCGGTTGTGAGGGGTCACTTGGCACTTGGGGAAGCACATATACATCAAGAGAGCCTCACCACACCTCTCCCTCTCATATACTTCATATGAGACAAGTATAGTAAGTTGGAGAGTGATCGTATTGCGATTACTTGAGAAATCAAGTGGCACTATGTGGTGATTTGCAAGAGTGTTTGCTTGTTACTCTTGGAGCTTATCAGTTCCTAAATGGCTTGGTGATTCTGTATCCGTGAAGCATGCAAGAAGATTGTGCGGTGCTTCGGAGAAGGTTTTGTGTGAGGCTATTGAGCTCATCCTTGCCGAAGGAAGGCAAAGAGCATCTTTGAAAGCCCTAGTTTGGTTTTAGTAATTGAGTGCCAACCATGTGGACTAATGCTTTCATTTAATATGTTTGGCTGGAGTCCACTTGATGATTGATGAACAAGCCATAGGAGGTAATGGAGATGGAGATCATAATCACACATGCAAAAGTTCTTCAAATAGTGAGAAGATGGAGCAAAACCAAGCCACAAGGCAAAGGTATATAATAGGGTTTTGCTTTTGCCAAGCAAGGTGCAATAGAGTGCACAGTTGCCGTACTATAAAGAGGAAAATTTATAGTTGCAATGGTTATCTAGTGCCACTAAGTGCGAGTTTCATTTTCATTTGCATTGTGCTTATTGACGTGGTGCTGGAAATTCTTTGTGAAAAGCTAACTCTAGTGCTCAACTTGTTTTGGTTCCTAGGAAAAGTTAGCACTTAATATAAAAAAGGAGAAGCTCCAAGTGCTTGAAGGCGTTGCTGCGGGAGCTTAGTGCTGGGCCGGAATTTCTGGCTCAGCCGACCTGTTTTTTCGGCCAGAGGCCCTTTGTTGAGCACGTTGCTGATCTGATAATTGTGCTAGGCCGCCTCGACATTTTCGGAGAGAGAGAGAGAGAGAGAGCATGTGAGTTGCTGCTGAGCACGTGGCCCTATCCTGGAAATTGGGTCAGCTTGCACTAATATTTCCGATGTGGGC